ATTTTTCTCTGCATCTATTGAGATGATCATGCTTTTATTTTTCTTTTTGTTAATATAGTGTATGAAATTTATTGATTTGCATATATTGAACTGTCTTTGCATCCCACAGATAAACTACACTTGATTATAACTGTTTGAATCTTGATTCCACCATTTGTTAACTTTGTGTTCTTCAGATATTATTTAATGTCTTGTTTGCACTGATTTGCATCTATGAAATTGGATAATAACAGTACCTAGTTTGAAGAATATTATGAGTATTACATGAGATCATGCTTGTGAATGTTTCTAAATGTTTGGAACATACAGTAAGTATACAGTAAATGCTCAAAAGCTTTAATCATTGCAACAGGAATTTTTAAAATATGGCTTTATTTTTTTCCTATTTATAGTTTGTAGAATTTAATGTATTTCTTAAGTACTCGGTTAAGAGTTTTGTTTATATTCTCAAATTCAGTCCTTTAGAAAACTCTGAGGAAGGTTTTATAACTGTCACCATTTACAGGTAAGGAAACTATGACTGAGAGTTTAATAAATAACTTTTCCAAGGTCATACAGAAAGTAAGTGGCTGAAGGGAAATGGAGATAAGTTCTTTATCAAAACAAATGTAGTTAAATCAAAACAAAATGCAAAATGCTGAAGAGCAAGGATTATTAGATAACCCTGAAATGTATATATGCTTAAAATTAAAATTCTTAAGAAAAAAGAAAGATTTATCATTAAAATAGGTAAAACAAAACATTAATGACACTAATAACTTCGGTTATTTCTTTCTCTTTCCTTATATTTAATATAAATACTTTAATTTTCAGATATATAAGAACTCAACACACAGTTTAAGTAAACTCTCTATTTTTGCTTCATTTAGTCCTGTTTTTATCTACATAAGTTAAATGACTTTCCTCTTCTCATCTACTGAAATTTCTAAATTTGCTACTTCTGAAGCCAGTGCCAAATTCAGATTTCTGGCATTGGCTGGAGAAAACAAGCCAGGAAAAAAAAGAATCAGGTCTGGACCAATAACTTTCTCAGACAGTTTAGTCTTAGCTTCTCTATTCTCTGGGACAATTTTACTTGATTTTAGAGTCAGGTTTTCTTAATTCCCAGTGTCATGCTGTCATCACTAACATGATTCCTATTTGTCCTCTTATAAAATAGAAGATTTACAGATACCATATGTTCTTTATATGTCATAGATGTTCAAATATTTTTGTATTAAAATTTTTTAAGTACTGAAGACATTTAAAAAACCTTTAATTTCTATAATTTTTACTTCAGAGCATTCTAATCAAATCATCTTCTTTTGTGGTATTTTTTACTTTATGATTACAAGCATTTTTTCTGCTTTTTCCCTTTTAATGACAGCTTAGTGCATAGAATCACATTATGTAGATTGTTTCAAAGTAGGTCTTGGATTTCCATAGCTGTATATAGTACTTGCTAAAAATGTACAATGACTCTGTATGAAGAGCTGGCAGAATACATGCCACAGGGTATGTACAGGCCAACAAAGGATACCCAAAAGCATCCTATAAAGAAGAGATACTCATAGACTTATTTACACTGAAAGAGACACTATATTAGTTAAAATAGACATGAATACAAAGATTTATGAAATTTGGTTTAATCAGCACCTCACTTTCTAGCAAACACTACAGTTTGAATTACTATTTTTCTACTAAATGTTAAGCTTTGTGTATCTGCAGCCCTTAGCATAAGGCCTGATTCGTAATCATTGCTTAATAAATGTTGCTTTAATGAGTACATGAAAACACAAAGAACCCTACTCTTAAGTAGTTTAAATTATAGATCTGTTATAAGATGCTTACATAATGTCTTTGAACATGCTGCTTTCTCTTGCCAAGTTTGGCCCACTATTCCACGTACCCCAGAAAATTTCTTCACCTTGGCTAATTCTGGTCATTTTAGTCATTAATCCTTTAGGAAAAGTCTTCTGACTCCAGTTTGGAACAACACTCACTATGTGACAACAGTATCCTAAATAAACTTTAATAAGTAATATAATGTGACAATAATAGTCTTTTAATTCTTGCCTGTCACTGTACCATTTGAACACAGCATTTTTTCAAGTTTTTTATATAAATTACTAATGAAATCCTCACAATAACCTTTTGGTGTAAGAGATGAGATAAGCTTAATTTTTTTTAGAACACATGTTGAAAGTTAAAATCTGTATTTGCAAGGAATTAAAGATGAACTAGCAAAGTCTTGTAATCAATTTTGTAAAATTGATTTTTATTTTTTGACTAGTAGAGAGAAAAGGATCTGGGGAAAAACTCAATAGCAAAAATAAATAAAAACGTGAGGCTCCTAGAGAGATCAAAGACTATGTTTTAATTACTCTTTAATTTTTTAATTTAAGATAATATTTTTAATAATAACTAAATATTTAAAATCTTTCCATGGCCTCCTGTTGCACTTTGAACAAAAGTTATACTCCACTTTATGACATACCTGCTTATCAATCTCAAGTCCCCTTTGTATTACTCAATTGTGATAAGCCCTTTCTTTGTGACTTTTGAACTATATCTTCTTTCTGCATAGAAATTCTGCTCTCAGCACATTCCACAAATGGCTTTTATTGATTACTTTCCACTTCTCCAATGTGAGGGCCTTCCCTTCTAAAGCAATTCTTTCCTCTGTTCGGTTCCTCTTTCTCACAGCCCTTGCTCCATTCTTGACATTTATCTGCCATTATCATATTTATTGACTCAAGCTGTTTACCTATTTATTCTGTTTCCACTTATGCAGAATATATCTTTCATGAAAGGAGAACCATGGCAGTGTTGTTCATTATTATATCCACAGCAAATAGAGCAGTGTCAAGAGCACACTTGTCACCCAGTTAACATTTGAATTTAAAAATTGCACATAATATGCTTATAATTAAAACCACTAAAATATTTTCTAGGCATCATTATTCCATTTAGTAATATGAGGTTTGGAATCACTTTTAATTTTCTACAGAATAAAATCTTATTAGGAAGTTTTGTCTAGTGAAGCATAAAACAAACTATATTTTTAAAAATTATATTTGGATAAGGGATTTGAAGGATGAAAGAGCAGCCTATTAAACTCATCTTCATTTATATCAGTTATAAATAGTTGGTATTTTCTATATTTCCCCTAAAATTCAGCCATAATAGAATACAGATATTCTATTCCAAAGAATGTATTTATATGTATGCATTTTTATATGTATATATAAACATATACACTTGACATATATGTATAGAGAGAATATATATTTTTACTTACTTATTTATTTATTCACCACAGTGAATCCAACCATTGTGTATATCCATAAGAATTGGTTCCTAATTACAATAAGATATATTCTGTGCTTGTATAATTATATAAAAATGCATTCTACTGTCATATATAACTAAAAAGATCTAATAAAATAAATAAATAGGTTCACCTTACTCTGACAAAATTCATGAAAGTAATTCTTCAAATAGGAAAAATAACAAAATTTCTCAACTCATTAACATAAGACTCTTTTAACTCAGTAACACCAGACTCTGGCATCTTGTTAAAAACTAAGAAAAATGAATGTAGGTATACACACTAAACACCAAGGCTCCAGAATATTTATAATGATGTTTGTGAGTGAGCTCATACTCTGTAACACACCGTTGACTGGATATCTTATGAGAAATTTATTTCTCACAGTTTTACAGATTAGGAAGTCCAAGATCAAGGTTTCAGCCAACTCAGTTCCTAATGAAAGCTCTTCCTAGTTTGCAGACAGCTGCCTTCTTGTTATGCCTTCACTTGGCTTCTCCTTGGTTCATTCTCTAAGGTGTGAGGGGGAGAGTGAAGGAAAGAGAGATACCTCTTCCTCTTCTATCAGGGCCACTAATCCCACCATGAGAGCCCCACCTTTGTGAATAATCTAACCCAAATTATTTCTCCAGAAATTCCATTCCAAATATGATCATCTTGGGGATTAGGGCTTCAACATATGGATTTCATTGGTACACAGAACTTTTAAGCCATGGCAACATGCCTTCACCCTTCAGGCAAGCAATGATGAGTCTTTTTAGAGATTCTTATGAGTCTAAGAACCAGCTAACTGTTGACATAAGGGATATCCAACATAGGACTCAGGTAGGTCACCTTAAGTTGAAGCTCTCAATTAACAGTCTTTACCCACTTCTGTAGTTTCCCATCAGTTTTATAGAACTCCTACTCTACAATATTTGCATGTCAATGAAGATTTTTAAGCACTAAGAGAAAACTTATAACATGAAAAAATTGGGGGAAAAGTTACACTCTTAGCAATCAACTTGAAGGAAAAAGCTTTATTGTAATGGGGAAAAAATCTTTGAAAATGCCATGAATATTTTCACAGACATAGGAAAGGATTACGTCCATGCAAGGATAATGAGATGCTTTAATTAGAGAATCCAGAGAACCAAAAATATCTTTGGAAATCAAAACACAATAGCATTAAAAAATAAAAAACTCATCAGAAGACAAAGTTATAGAAGATAGTATTTAATAAGTTATCTAGACAAAATAGCAGATATACAATGTAATAGGGAACATGAGAGGAAATTTTTTAAAAAAAGGGATTGGGCCAAGGAAATTCACTCTTAATAAATAATGAAAGATCCCAAAATAGAAAAACAATGACAACAACAAATAGGTTGTTTATTATTAATAAATAATAGAAAATTATCAAAGGAAGGGTTCAAAAATATTTTCCATAACTGAGAGCCCCCACTTCCAGGTGAAGAGGGTCCATTAAATATTAGGAAAATGAAAAAAAAAAACATTAACCCATCTATTTGGGACATCTTTGAAAGATGTCACAAAACCTGGGAAAAAGAAATCTGATTGTCTGATATACTGAAAAGAAATACAGTCTTTAGAAAAGAGTGTTGGTTTTAACTACAGATATATCTCTAGAAAACTAACACATGGATGTATAGAAGATATAACCTTCTAACAAAAATTGAGGATTAATTAGAGCACATAAAGAACCAATTAAAGGTAAATAATGAGGTAAGTAAATTTGAAAAGATTTTTTAAATTATACAAGGAAGAAAAAGGTAATCTGTTCCTGTTTTGCCATTTGTTTCTTTTTAATAGCAACTGTATATTTGTTGACTCAAGTCAACAAATTCATGAAACAATAGATTTCACACAACAATAAATTTACTTAGCTTTAAGGAAGGATAAAGAAGAGGAAACTATGAAGATGCCCAGTGTAGTGGGTATCTTCATGATGCCCTGGCACCACGTCTGGTGACCTAATCACTCCTCACTTAGGAAACGAGAGATGGGGTTGTGAATGTGTGGATAACTTTAATTCAGAGAAACCATCAGTTCTGGGGAATCCCAGTGGCTAATATAATTTTTTATGCCTTCCCCTCAATCACATAAGGATCATATGTTTTCTTTCCCCATAGGAATCACTATACTGAGCATGTGATTAATTATTCCCAAGCAGTTTCAATACATTGAGTGATTCTCTATCTGGGGGAAAAATATTAATCATGCATCTTCTCAGGTATGTGACTAGCTAGTCAGCTTAGAACACGTACAGACTTTTTAATCATGATTATTCCCTAAATAATACAGTTTAACAACTGTGTACGTGACATTTAAATTGTGTTAGGCATTATAAGTAATCTGGAGTATACAGGAGGATGTTCATGTATCATATACAAATGCTATGCCTTTTTAAAGCAACTGAGCATCTGTGATTTTGATAACAACCAGGGTGGAGCGGTATTCTGGAATGAATCCTGTATAGATACATAAGGATGACTTACTTTATTTTTCTTAACTCTGAATCAAATTACTTTTCATGCGTGAGATTTTTTTGGTGGGGGTGTTTGTTTGTTTTATCTTGTTTTAAATTAGTCTTATGTTCCTTTCTCTTTTTGCTATCTTTACCCACTTCTGCCCCAGTGGTGGAACAACGAATAATGTACTTGCTTCTAATTATATAAAACTTAGTTTAAATCCCAGCCCAAGGTTGTGTAATTTCAGCTAAGTTATTTAACCTTTCTAAACTTGATTTTCTTCATCGGTTAGCTGAAGCAAATAATATTTGCCACATAATGTCTTTGAGTAAATTGAAAAAAAAAACTATGTAAAAACCACTAGAAAGAGCTAGCCTTCAGAATATAGGAAGGAAACCTAATTCCTTATGGTCACTATTATTTCTATACCTTTATTGGATATCCACCTTGAGTTTGGCATTATACAAGGGAATGAGAATATAGTGATGAATGAAATAAATACACACCATGGATAATGGAGTTCACTGTTTGGCAAGAGGTGAAGGTAGAGAAGCAGAGAACAGGAGGCAATTTACATTTAGATACACTCACGTAAGTGTATAATAATACAACTGAAAAATTTCTGCAGAGGAAAAGTCAAGTGAGCTCAATATAATTCTAGTTCAGAGAGATGAAGAAAGAAGTAACACCTGATCTGTGTTTGAAGGTTGAGTAAAAATAACTAGGCAAAAGGAAAAGTTGTATAAAATGAGCATTCCAGATGAAGACGTGGTCCTACTGAAAGACTTTGAAGATAGGTAGTCTGGGCTACTTAAGAAATTGAAAGATTACTGGTATGGTCAGAGAACAAGGAGTGAGATACAGCTGTAAAACTTCACAGGGGACAAACCAATTTTATTCTGTAATTTTTAGTCTATAATGAGAATTTGACTTTCTATGTTCCAAGAAGAACAGCCATTAAAATATTTTAAACAAAAAAATGAAATAATCAGATTTTGCAGGTAATGATTATGGAACATATGGTGTTCAGAACAGATAGGAAAAGAGCAAGAGTGAAGATAATAAGGCTAATTAGAATCATTGCAGCAGTGTAGTATGGAGATGGTACCTTGGACCAAGGTGAAGATAATAGGCATGGAGATATAGAGAGAAAAAAAAAGCAAAGAAATAGTGAGCACAAAAGTATGTTCTGCTTGCATCTTACCAATTGAATGAGAATAATACCTATCCTATAGAGTAATTTTGAGGAGTAAGATAATTGCTTAGTGCAGATATTGCTTAGTACTTGGTATAATCATCATTTTTTATTTCTATTATCATTCCAAAATTCCCTATAACGTTCTTTACTTCTGTCTTGGTCATTTGTGCCCCACTTCCTTTCCATGTGTAAAGTTTTGATTCTTGCTTTAGATGTTGTACTGACTTGTTTTCATTTGCTATGACAAAACACCCAAAGCTAGAAACTTATAAAGCAAAGAGGTTTATGCTCAAAGTTTTGGAGGCTAAAAATCCTGGATATGGTTTCCCCACATATTAAGTGTTTGGTGAGAGCCTCACAGCAGATGGCTTCACAGTGGTGAGAATGTGTCCAAAAGAGATCACATAGAAACAAGGAAGCCAAGGACCCAGGAAAGGCCAGTCTTTTTCTTTTGTAACAACCCACTGTTGCAGGAACTAACTCATTTGAGAGACAGCATTAATCATTAATTATTTCCAAAGGTAGTACCTCCACTGACCTAACCACTTCCTACTGGGCATCACTGAGTAAAGGTTGTACTACATTTCACATTGCAACACTGGGGACAAGATTCCAAATCATGAACTCTTCTGAACCATAGCACATCCAAACTAGAGCAGATGTTATAACCTGCCTAACCTCATAGTGTTCTCTCATGATGGACCCATGGTTAGCTTTCTCTTTTCTTCTTGTTTTCCTTAAATTTCTATCTGAAAGATCTCCCCTAACTTCTTAAAATCAGTGTATGGAAAGACCACATCTCTGCCACTGAAAAGGCAATGCTACTACCCCATCCATTTTATTCCTTGACAACCTTCTTAGCAGTCTAATCAGTGTCTTTATTCCTCACCTTCTATTATTCTGCATTTCTAATACCTCAGAAAGCATTTCAAGCTTCCAATTTTTTCACTATTGAATTTGTCTCCTCTCCTTGAGAGAGGAGACACAAGTAAGTAAGAAAAATTTCAGAAGTTTAGCTGAGTGAGAGACTAGCTTGTGGACCATAGCATAAAGCCAATATGCAATCTTGTTATCAACTTTTGTAGAGTATATACTCTGGCCACATTCCTGTCATTCTGCTCAAGCTACATTCATTTCACTAATCAATGTTAATTTCTTGATTGCCAAATTCAGGAACATCTTTTCCATCCTCATTCTACTTGCCCTTTCTTCAGTATTTACTCTTCCCAAGATTTCTCTTTCCTTTTTACATCTTCATTCGACCTCACTTCTGGTTCTCCTGTTATCTCACCACTCCATTTTTGTCATCTCTCTGCCTATTTCTGCTCCCTAAATATTTATATTTTGTAGAATTTTGTCTCTGGCCTTATTCTCTACTCAATACACATATATTTTTGAAATCATATTAGGTTCTAGAGATTCAAAGAGAAATATAGGTATACTGAGATGAGAAAAGAATTTTAAAAACTGTCTTTGAGTCCAGTTGAGGAGACTTACATAAAATAAGCAAAACAAAATATCATGGAAATCCATATCAGACCTGATTTGATGTCATGACATGAGAATAAAGACAAAGCACCTAATTCTCACCTATAACTTGTGCTTATGGGTAATTACACCCATATCTCTATTTTTAATCCTTGCCCCTTTGATATTTTTAAGTATTTTCAAGCCCAGCATGTCTACTCTGAAGTGCATTATATTCATTTCACTTTGTATATCTATTTGATCCTTTCTATTCCAGGTCTCTGTTCATAGTATTACTAGCCCTTAACTTGCTTTATCTATGAAAGTCAAAGTCATCACATTTAATTCTATTCTCATTTCCTAAATAAAAGCACTCACCCCACATATCCCATTTCAGTCAATGTCTCTTTCCTTGAAATAGTATAGTAGTCTCCTTTCTAAAATCCACACATCTCTCAGTCTTGGAAATGCTATCATCTATATCTCTATTGCAGTGTCTTTTCAAAGCATAAATTCTGCATCTAGACCACTGCTGTTGAAAGTGTGTAATGTCTGTTTCCTCTACTACAGACACCAGGGTCTTCACTCTGCAATGCTTATCACTTATTGTTCCCAGCCTACTTTTTTTTTTCTTTTTTATTTTTCTTTGAAATTATTTTGCACTATCCCAAAGGATTTTATTCTTTTGTTACAATCTATATTTTGGGAAGCCCCTATTTTCCCACATTTGTATAGATTCTCAGAGCCCCGAGATCACACTGGTTTTTATTCTTAACCTTTTTATCATAAACTAAAACACAGATAATGAAAACCACTAGCAACATCTTGTGACATTCCTCCTTAGCCCCTGAAATATTCCCTGACTATATAAAATGAGCTCAATATATCACCAGCTTTAATAAACTATTTGTTCTTTCCAAAATGTGTCTGTTCTTCATACCCTTGTGTTATTTCCTGTCTATAATGACCTTCCTTACTTTTCTAGTGTCAGCCTTTCATTTACCCTTCATGACTCAGATAAATGTCATTTCACCTGTCAGTCATTCTTAATACTACCAAGTCTCCTGTAGGCCTTTGTCCATGTCTCTGTATCAAAGTCTTTTGACTACATGTTGTTATCTATTTTCTCCCTATTAATCTTTACAAGGTCAGCAAGCAAATATTAATCATACGTCTCTTTCCTCCCATCCTCAAAATCTATAAATAGTATTAGATTCATCTAGAAACTCCATAAGTGTTTGTTGAATTAATAAACATTTTTTATTTTAAAAACATCTTTGAATTCTCAGAAATAACCTTCCTACTCAAAGTAACATTGGCCTGTTCCCAACTTAAACTTCAGTGTTCGCATTCAAGCTATAAGTCCCACTGTCTTACCCATCCATCCCTGAGAACTATTTAGTAAACTTTGAAATTCATTTAATTATTTCCAACTGAAACCTCAACCAGCTTTAAGGTTGTGGATCTTGAAAAACTTTACTTTTACATCCCTTTACTTTAAGGTTCCATAGCTTTTAAAACATTTTTGATAGAATAGAGATGGGTAATATGCTATGGTTGATGTTTTTAATATTTCT